ACAATCTTAAGAGAAAAGCTAGGGAAAAAATAAGTAGTCTAATGAAGGGTACGGGATATAAATCAGATGAAAAAATTCATGTAGCGCAGTTTCCTTTCGGCAGGCTTAAGACTCACGTCGCTAAATCCTCGGTAACCGTGTCGCGTAAACGGCGTAAGACAAATAAGAAAAAAAGTTTATCGAAAATCAAGTCTCGTGGGAAAAAAAACAAATACAAAAAAAACTAAAAATAATACGAGGAAAAATCGCTCGACTGTAAAAAGGCTCAAATCGTCCGCGAAACGGCGTAAAGCTAGTAGCGGTAAAAAGCGCACAGTATACGATATATTTTCATAATCACCATTATTTCTAAATACGCTTGTCCGTGACAATAACGCTGGTAGAGCGGGCGACGATAGAAAAGAATGTCATTTCTTCACACACACTCGAGCGAGTGTTTAAAGAGCGAGCTCGATCTCTTCTCTTTACCGCCCACGCAAACTAGCATCGAAAGTTCGCAATGGATTCATTACAAACCCGTGACCTCGCTTTCGGACGACTCCCCGCTAGAATTCGTCATCCCGGGTCACGGAGAAGAATATTTAGATCTCACACACACGTTACTAAGTCTTCGGGTACGCGTAGAAACCGAGCCGCTACCCGGTCTCGCCGCCGGATCAGGCGTCAACGTGGGCCCCGTAAATCATTTTCTTCATTCCATCTTCAATCAAATCGACGTGTATTTCAATCAAAAGCTCGTGTCGCCTCCAAACAACGCTTATGCGTACCGCGCGTACATCGAAGCGTTGTTAAATTATTCATCGCCCGCAAAAACTTCCCATCTAACCTCGTGCTTATGGGATGCGGATACACCCGGACACATGGACGATACGGCAGGAGCGGAAGGCAATACCGCTATAGCGAGACGAGCTCGTTACATACGCGGAGGGCGCGCGCTAGATCTTATAGGTCACCTCCATTGCGACGTTTTCAATCAGGATAAATTCTTAATTAATGGCGTCGAGGTGCGGTTGAGACTCGTGCGTTCGAAAGATACGTTTTGTTTTATAGAAACTAATTGCACGTCGAAAATTCGTATACTCGATGCAAGTCTAATGGTGAGAAGAGCGAAAATAAGCTCCGGAGTATTACTAGCGCATGCTAGAATGCTGAGCAAAGTTACCGCCAAGTATCCGCTTACGAGAGTTGAAATTAAAACATTCACGATTCACAGCGGGGTTGTGGGTGAATCGTTAGATAATGTAATACTGGGACAATTGCCGAAACGAATAATAGTAGGTTTCGTCGATAATAAAGCGTTTAACGGTGACAGAAAATTGAATCCGTTTAATTTCCAAAATTACGGAATAAATTTCTTCTCGCTATACGTCGACGGTACACAAATACCCAGTAGACCGTTACAACCGGTTTTCTCGTCTCGCGAACCGCTTTACATCGAAGCTTATCATACGCTCTTCTCAGGGACGGGTATCCATTTTTTGAACGAGGGAAATTCTATAAGTAGAGATGATTATTCTCGGGGATATACGTTATTCGCTTTTGATCTTACACCCGATCTATCCGCTAATTGCGCCGGTCATTGGAATCTCGTGAAACACGGAAGTCTACGGTTAGAAGCGAGATTCGAGAAGGCGCTCACCGAAACAATTAATTGTATCGTTTACGCCGAATTCGATAATGTCATAGAAATCGATGCATCGCGTCAAGTTATCGTCGATTTTTCCGGTTAGCTTTTAACACTCGTTCACCAACATGTATTCATACACCGTAATGTAATACGCGATTAGAAAATTTTCCCCCTCCTCTTCCTTTGGAAATTTCGATGACACTTTTCACGGAGTGGAAACTATGTAACGCGCTAGAATAAATTCAGTTTTGTACGAGACACAACCAAACGCGCACGTTTCGCTAAGAGCTTGTACCTCATCAACGAAAATCTCACAATATGGACATAGTCGTCGACATACAAGGTTTCCGCGATGAAGCCAATAAATTTATCGCGAAGGAAGTCGCCGTTGTCGCGATCGATACTCCGATTGTCGAGCACTGGATTATGATGCCACCATACGCGTTTGGAAAATTACCCGCAAAAGCAAGACGAGAAAACAATTGGCTCTCACGAAATTATCACGGCATCGAGTGGTTCGACGGCTCAGTTAATCCGAAATATTTTACCTCGTATCTCCGCGAAATTGCAAGACACGCGCGCTGCATTTACGTCAGAGGTAACGAAAAAGCAAACTACTTGAGGAATTTACTTTCCAGAGATATAAATAATTTGGAGGGTACCTCACCAGCATTTAAAAATCTACCGGATGAGGAGGATATCGTACAATATTGCGGTCATCACGGGATTCGAAAATTTGGAACCTTTCATTGCGCGTTATACAATGCTTATAAATTAAAATGCTGGCTAAGTGCGCAAAATAATTGCGAGAACGTTTCAACCTCTACTGAAGCTACTTGTAGTTCTGACGAAAGTTGGGAAATTACTTTCGACGATAGCGACGATAAATACGAAACCGCCGTTTCTTGCGATGTAAATGAGAATATAACTAAAATACAAATAGAGGAAAAAATCAGCAAAGCAACGAACAGCAGATTGAAAAAGAAGAAGAAGAGAGATTTGTGATTTCTGAATCGTCATCGACGTTGACGGACAAGAACGAAACAATTTCCATCTCGACGCAAACTGACATTGAAAACCTCTCAAAACAACTCAAGATAGAAGAAGACGCATTATCGAAAGAGGTAAAAACCGGTATTGTTCAAATAATACCGTACACTCGTTCGTATTCGGGACAAAAAAAAAATGAACTCTCGCGAAATTCTACAAGCATTGCATCATCTCGATGCCAGACATGTTGGAGTCTATGCAGCCGACAGAGTTCCGAGGGTGTGGACGAGGTCGACGGCTATCGTCGCTAACACCGACAATCACGATCGACCTGGAGAACATTGGATCGCCTTCTACCTCGATGAACACGGTACAGCCACTTATTTCGACAGCTACGGATTGCCCCCCTTGTATCCAGGATTTCTCATCCGACTTCGACGAAACTCCATCATCCATCGTTGGAATATTCAACAATTACAAGGAATTTTTTCTAAGACTTGCGGACAATACTGCTGTGTATTTTTATATTATATGTGCAGCGGTTATAATCTTAATCAGTTTCTCGCTCTTTTTTCCGAAGATTGTGAATATAACGATCGTTTAATCATACACTTATTTCGTAAAATTTTTACTCACAAAAAATAAGCGAATTATAACAATATATAATATGAATTTTAGTATGAATAAATAAATTTTGTTCTGTAAAAATATTTTAAATATAATCCATATTTGTACTTTTAAAACTATTGTTCAATTTTCTTTCACTTCCTCTTTCCAGAAATTTTTCCTCCACATGCATGTTCCTGTTTACCTTCATTAAGCAGCGAGTTATTTTAAAATAAAATTTTATCTGACATCTTTCTAATCTACGACGATGTATTATTATTTTTTATCGTGACGCGAGTCGGAATGCTCGCCTGTACAAATATTTGCGTGTTCTTTTTTATTACCCTACGCCATTGTCAGCTACTACCTGCCACCGGTCGACCGCACGACGCTTTTCTTGGCCAAAATGTTTTACCCCCACCCCGTCTAATATCGACCATTTGATTCGACGAGCTATCCTTGCCATACGTATACCCGAACTGTTTTTACCCCACCCCCGTCCAATATCGACCATTTGATTCGACGAGCTATCCTTGCCATACGTATACCCGAACCCCCATGCCGTACTCTACGCAACTTTAGCTTAAATACCACATCTAATCCTTAGACTAGTAAGATCTCGTTTAGCTCAACATACTAGGACCCTGCTCGGAAACACGGAGGTCCCGGGTTCAAATCCAGAGAAAATCAGAAAAAATAAAAAATAAAAATTCTCATCCCCACCTTTCGGGGTCAGTCGCCATTTTTTTTTCCCCCAACACCCTTTCCCCCTAACACCCACACTCGGAAAAGCCAGACGCCGGTGGTGGGGGAAAGATAAGATAAGACCCGGCGCCAGACGGGTCGGTGGTGGGGGTTTGTTTTGACGGGCCATACCTGCCATTATACTACTACTACGATTAAGTAATAAACTGTATCAAGAAATAATAAATAAAATGTAACAAATAAAAATGATAAATAAAATAAATAGAATAACTAAATTAATAAAGAGTGTGGAATAAACTAGATAAAATAAAATATTTTTTTACATTGCGTATAGAAGAGACGAGTTTGTAATTTAATAACTATATTCTAAAAAGAGAAAAGTTTCGATGATTTTACCTTCATTTATGAAACAAAGTGTGTTCTTTTCAGTAAGTATTATGTAATGTGGTTGTTCATATGTAGATGCATTCAGAAAATCATTATACAAACAATTATTGAAAGGCGTAAAATTGCAGTAGAAGATTATTTTGTATCTGTATTCGTATCTCTTGCTGGTGAATATTTTTTTAAGGCCAAATTTATTTTTGTGCCAACCTACTATTACACCACGAATACCGTTTGTAGATTCATGACTTTCATTTTTATTATGTTTTACGATCATTCCAACTGCAAATTTGATATTGTTTGGTCGTCCAATCGACTGATTTAATTTACTAAATTTAAGTGCATCCTGGAAATTGTAATATTAATCTTTAAATAATTATTTTTATTATGTAATTTCTAATTGGACTTTTGTATTAAATGAATAATAGTGAATTAAATTATAATTTGCCCATAATTGAATATGATATCAGAGAAAAAACAATAACATTTATGATTATCAATATATGTATATTAATATTGTATAATGCCGACATACACGTTTTTTATCCTTGCAAATGGATAAACTTGATAATAGTATTTCCCTTGGTGGCATCTCTAAAATATTATTTTTCCAAGTAATATTTTCAAATTCAAAAATGTTTTCAACTAACTAGAAGAAATAATATAATTATAAACATGTATACGTAGATGAAGTTGCGATTACAAAAGAAAAAGTGAGAAATGATATATTTTTTCTAGTTATAAGATGTGTTTCAGAAATTCGTGGTTCATCTATGAATAATTGCCAACCTCAATAGCTGACGTTCTGTAGTAATATTCAGAGAGTTCTAAAACATACATCTTGATAGAACAATTCGAGAATTTGTCAAAATTCATGTAAAAACACCTTACATATTCTAAGCTGTTCGTGGCACTGGAAACAATAAAAAGTTACACATTTATATATATATATATAAATACACATACATACACATATAAACATGTAAAGTTATATATATATACATATATATATGTAAACATGTGCGTGTGTATATATAATGAAAGTAAAAATATCGAACAATTCGGATAATTTATAATCTAAATAAATTATACTTACTATTTAGGTTTCCACAATATACATATTTCTTCATTAGTTTCAATTATATCACACCGTAGACCAAGTCTCCTGGCCACGCTGTGATATATTGTTAATATAATATTATGATCGCCATATTTATTTTCTAAGACCTGTTTCCGAAATTACAATACGAAAATTAATTAGAGAAGAGAGAACGAGTGTTTTTGAAAAAAAAAAAAAATTGCACAAACTTTTTTTCTAATTTGTAAGAAAAAGTCCATCTTTTATAAGAATTTTAAAATTTATATACATTTGTTATGTAAAATGTTTAGTATAACAGATCAACTAAAATTTATTCGACGTCATAGCATATGTTTCAGTAAACATGTGAAATATTTTGTTGGTAATAAAAATAAGAGCATGGTATAATATTTACTATATTGTTATTCCGAATAGTATATGCATATATACTATTGTAAATATTGATTATATTTGAGAATAATAAAAAACTATTATTTAGCGATTATTAGAAAAATTACAGATTGTGGCCATATTTTTGGTACGGCTATCACGCACGAGTTTATCCTATTCTTCTCTGAGAAGTTATACTTTTTTAAAAAAGATTTTTCAAATTTTTTCTAAAATTATGGACAAGTTAAAAAATGTAAATTGACTTTTATTACTATCAAAAAGAATGTTTGTTAATATCTTTTTAATTATTTTTTCTTGCTTATTAATCTTTATTATTATAGAGAGATGAAACTAACAATCTATATTCAATTTTTTATTAGATCTTATTAAACAGAATATGATTATTCAAACATATGCGTTACAAATATTGATTCCTTTTGGAACATTTTTATTTTCTTTTATTTTTGTAAAATTAACTAGTTTTCAAGAAAAAAAATAAAACCTTATAATTGGTCATCATACGCGAGTTTACTTTACACTGAATATATTTATAGCATAATTGACTATAATTATTATGTATTATAATCTGTAATAACTTACATTATCTATACAATACTGTTTCATATCATCATCGTCTTCCTTTTGGTTAATTCGAAAGTTGAGTTCACCAAATATATATTCTTGCAGTGTATCCATAATTTGAGTTCCTTCCTCTTCGTCCCAATAATTATCGTTAATATTGTTATTTTCCCAATAGGAAAAATTTTCGGCAGACGTTAATAATATCGAATGATCGGGATATTTTTTTCTGAGCAAATTCCGTGCGTTTTGTGCGATAGTATTTAATGATGCTTTTATGCGCGAGTAAAATATATCCTTTTCTGGTTGAAAATATTGAGCCAAAATAGTAGCAGCTTGTTCCATTAGCTGTTGTTCAGCTGGTTTTGCTTGAAATTTTTCCACTTTCCAAACACCACATGTTTCCTCAAATAATTATACAATCTCATATTGCAATATCTCTTGGTTAAATCGCAATTAGCACTTCTGAAAAAGAAACAGAACAATAAGTATATTTTTTCAGTCTATGATATTCAAAGCAGTTAATTTATAATAAATCATACCGTGAAGATTCGGTTGTTAACAAGTATTTAATTTCATCAGAGATGCAAGTGTTCGTTACGAAATTTTTAGCTATTTGTTTCATTCTGTATATGTTACGGTCAGGTGCCCTTGTATTTTCTAATTGATATTCGTAATCAAAATCTGCTATATAAGCTATCGAATCATTCATATCATAAAGCTTATTTAGTATTTCAGATATAATATTTTGTGACAGCTTTACACTGTATATTCCTATTTTTGTAAAATTTAAACTTTTATTCATAATCATCAATTGTTCAGGTTCCTTCTCAGATTTCTCTACAGATTTCTCCTCAAATTTCAAAATATCTTTTAGATTTAGCTCATATATTTCATATTTAGATATCTTATCGTAATATTTTTGCCATTGGGCCATCTAAAATTAGAAGAAAAATGTTCTAGTTAGAAAAAATAGTTAAATCGGCGTCGAATCGACCTCGAATTGATGTCAAATTGGTCGAATCGATATCGATTCGACGTCTTTTCGTTCAATTCTGACTGAGGCTTAAATACAGTTTGGAAGATACATTATTGAAATATCAATCTTCTTGCCTTATTGTAGAAATTGTAGAATCTTGAAAAAATTTTAAATTATAATTAAATTTTACATCAAGAATATACATAATAATACTAAAGGTAGTAGCAGACAAAGCAATATATTTTATAACTCGTTTTATAACTCTATTATTTAACGATAACCATATACTATTACTTTTACATTCTATATTTATGAAATAATATTTTACAAATTTATTGGAATATTAATAACAATAAAATAAAACATTTCAATATAAATATACTAATTAGAAACCTAATTTATTTATTATTTATGATTGTTTTGGTCCTATCATCGGACCATTCGGTTGAAATAGAAAAAAGAATAACACGATAAAAAACAACGATAACTTATATTATTATTTATATTAAATAATAGCAAAAAAAGATATGGTTCACGCTGTATCAGCCTACTGCGAATGTACGTGCGCGAAGACGATAAAATTTAATTTTTTGCCGTCTTACACATGTGCACAAAGCACGAAATTTCCTTAGCCGTTGCTAAGACTTATTGAGGAACAATAGAGATTTCAAATACGAGATTTCCATTAGTATAAGAAACCATTATGATTGACGTTATTATCAAATAAACAATATATTAATTATTTGGTCGTGTTTATTATATATTATGTAACAAAAAATAAAATAAAAAATTAACAAACCAAACATGCGAAACTAAAAGTATATTGTATTTCAAAGTTTATCTCTCTTTTATTATATATAATATTATATTTTTGTATTATATAAGTATTAATATTTTACTTAAATTATATTTATTTATTGCATTATAAAAGTCTATCAAAAGGAACTAATAAGATTTATCAATGTGTAGAAAATAGGAAAAGCAAGAGAAATTATTTATAAGAAAATTTACTTTACCTACATAAAATTAAAATATACCCCTGTTTGTATTATTTATTACACTCATCTATAATCTGTGCATGTTTTAATGCAATATAATTTTTTAAATTATTATTTAATATTTTATATTTATATTTTTAATTATATTTATTACATTTATGTGTAGTATTTATATATATTATATTTTGATATATTTAATTTTTATATTAATTATATATATATAAATTTAATTATTATGAGGAGTATATATAGTTTCTTAGAAATGTACGCCATTAAGCAACAGGTCAATTACAAAAAATTAAATTACAATAATATTCATAAAGAAGCAATTACCTCTGCGAAAACTTTTTATGTATAAGCTTTACGAAACCGGCTGCTTTCCGGAATTGCTGGCACGTGCATCGAAAATTGATAATATCCTCAATACTTATGTTACCGTACTCAAGAATAATGGTTATCATCTCTTCAGGTAAGCACGTTATCGAAGCCATTGCACTATTTCTGTATAATTTTTGTGTGATAACGTATATGTGTGAAAAAAATACCGTAATAATGATTTCATACGTTTGCGATTTCAGAGAGGACGATTTCGTGTCTTGAGTGTATTCCAGAATATTCCCACACCAAATGTCCACTCTTTTCCTCTAAACCTAAACTACAAACCCATAGACTCGAAAGAACTATTGTATTTTTTCCCACTATGCAGTTGTCCGGTGATTGAGCGTATGAAAGAAACACACGAAAATGGGAAAAATATAAAAGATTTCGTATCCGCCCTTAAGATAGAAAAAGATAGAGAATACCAGAATGTCTTGTAGTACATTATTGTAGTTGTAGATTCTAAAATTAAAAAAATATATATACAAATAATTAAAACAGAAATGTTTGAAATGATTGTGATACTGAGATGCAAATCTCGAGGGCAAATCAAAATAGAATACTTATTTTTTGTACATTATAATATAACTGTATAAAATAAATTTTTGTATGCGCGTAATAAATATTGAGTCAATTAAATATATATTTATTGTTATACAAATATTAAAAAGCACATTTGCACAACGTGATTGATATCTTTGCTAAGAAATGTTTTTCAGTTTAATAACTACTATCTATCTATTCAATTTTGATATTTTGAAATACTCTGTTTAATGTAAATAAAATTAAATGAAATTTTGAGTGATATTTGAAAATTTATTTAAAACATAAAATTAATGTGATATAATATATTTATAAAAAATATCACATTTAGAAGAATCGTTTTTGCAATTCAATATTTGATAATTTCATTTTTTATTCTCACTCACAACAATAAAGTTTACCTGCGATATCTAAGTGTCTAAGAGAATGAAATGTTCTTAAATGAAACATATATGTATTTATATGTAACAATCATTTTCTCACACACAAGTTTTTATTTTTTTACAAAGGTTTCTTTGTTTGAAACATGAAGATTTATTAATAACTCCAGAGTTGGGAACGTTACTTCATCAAAGTAACTCGTTACCGTTACCGTTATTTCTTGTAAAAAGTAACTTGTTACTGTTACTGATTTTAAAAAGTAACTCGTTACCATTACTCCAGAAGTAACGAATCGTTTCTATTTTCGTTACTTTGTTTAAAATGCTTATTTATTGAAACAATCAATATAGTAAAAGAGGCCAGTATAACGAGCATTAAATAGAATGTTAGAATCAGAAATTTACTTAATATATTCTACAAGCATCGTTAAACCGAAAAAATATCCATCGAATCAGACAAACCGTAAATTTATCGAATCTTACATAAAAAAATTATCTAATGCTTATTTATTATATACTATACATTTAATATTAAATTATTATAATTAAAATATTAATATATTTATAAGAACAATATTAAAATAATACAAAAAAATTTATAGTTTGTAATTTTTTAATTTATAATATTACAAATATACTCTATAATTATAATATAGTACTTAACTTAAATATATTGAATATATTGTAATACATATAATATAAAATATAAAATATAAATTTAAATCACGCATATAAAATACATAAACATAAATTCAAATTATTTTTCTTATTATTAATAAACTTTACTAAAGTTCAAACTTAAAAATAAAAATATTTTACCAAAATGTTTTATTTATTTTTAAAAGCAATAGATGTTCCATGGAAACATCATTTAGATTGCATCTTTGCGGCTTTAATATGTTACCGCTAACGTTAAATAATTAACGTTAAATAATTTTTCGACTGATGCACTACTTGGCAGTGCAGTGTTGTAATTAATGAAGTTTTAAGTGTATGAAAATTGTGTAACATTTCAACATTACACGATTTTGATTTTAAATATTGTTGTAGCTCTTCTTCGTTCATCCATTTGTTCGTGAAACTAAAAAAAATTATTTTAATTATCGTCAGTTTTATCTATGTTTACAGTAATTTCATCGGGTTGAATTCCTAATAATTCTTCTAAATATAGTTTTCGGCTATTTTTCTCTTTTCTCCGATCAACCAATTTAACCCTATTACATAGAGGCCGCATTAAGCAGAACCAATTTAACTTTATTACATAGAGGCCGCATTAAGCAGAACGACTGATGAGTTGCCTTTGTCATCTTATCAACACTATAACACTCGACATAGATTTGTTGGTTTTAAAAGTAAGAATCAATCACGTTCGATTGTTACTCGCTACTAAGCGGTTTGTCTTGCCGTGTAAAGTAACGATAAAAATAACGTTAAAATCGTTAGCGTTAGCGAAAAATTGTAGCGACGTTATTGTTATCGTTACAGATAATAAAAAGTGACGTCGTTACCTCTTCGTTACTAAAAAAAGGTAACGGTAACGGCGTTACAAGTAACGCGTTACTTCCCAACTCTGAATAACTCAAAGGATTTGACTCAGCGAGGTAATTTTTAGGCATATTTGTGTAAAATCCTTCAGTACCTTCGGGAATTTTCTTTCTTTTCGGTAATAAAGAGATTTCTTTCATTCTTTTTCAGCTATTGCATACCGGTGTCAGACCTGTCGTGCAAAATAAATGGCTTTTATTTAGAGAAAGCAAGTGTAAATCTGTCTTTTATCAATTATATATATATACCTCCGGCAAAGATGTTGAGTAAAAAAGGGACCAAAATTTTGATTATGATTTTGATTTTTATGATCAGTAGAATCTCTTAATTTTTTTGTTGTCGTAAAAATATATTCTTTACTTTCTAAAATTTTGCTTATTAATTACAGGAATGGAAAGAGTTAAGAAAAAAATTAGAATAATTTAATATTTATTTGTTTTTTTTATCTATGTGTCAATTTTTTTATTTGGCATGTGCGAATAAGGTGATTTTTAATAATGTGTAAGACGACGAAAGGCTGAATTAATAATTTCTAAGATATATAAAGTTTTATATTTAATATAAAAGAAATGTACTTGAAAAATATAAAATAAAATGTAAATATATATAAAATATATATTAAAACTATAAATATTTCTTACACATATTTATTAAAAAGGTTTAAACTCTGAACATATTATACGCTATTTAAGATTTTACAAAATACTTTATAAAATCAATGATTAAAATAAACTTTATAAATTTATACAAAATTTTTTTAGCAATAATATTATATTTATTAATATTAAAAAGGATTATTAACATTAAAGAAAATTGAAATATCAACACGAAACATTAAATAATTATGGTTGAAAGTTGTTTAGATAAAAAAATCTATATTAATAAACTTAAATATTAACCTGAGAATGATTTCAATTTGTGTGCTTGAGATAGTTTGATTGATTTATATGCTACATCTTGTTCACAATCAGAAATAATGTCCGTTTTTGTATCCTTTGTCACTCTTCATCTCGTATCGTTCCAATGATTTATTACAGCTGAAATTTTGTTTCTGACAAGATATTCTAATAATTAATAATATTAGATAACTCTTACAAGGGAACGGTCGGAAGTGACCTTCACCGATTTTAATGAACTTGGAGTATGTTTTAGAGCATTGAAAAATATTAGACCTGTATTTTTTTAGCTGCGTATCTCGACATTTAAGGGGTAAAACACCCTCTTGAAAAAAATTGTATTTTTTTATTTTTGAGCTAATACCGTCGAAACAGTATAAGATATAAAAAAATGTTTGAAATAAAAGTTATAAAGATTTTTAATGTTCTTTGAACCGTGCAATCAAATTAAGGAGAGGGAGCGGGGTACTTGACATTTTTGAGAAATTTGACATTTTTAAAAAATTTTATTACATTGTTTGATACTTTGAAATTAGCATTTTAAAATCTTTCAATATTTAGATGGGACGTAAAATGTGTTATTTTGTTTAAGTATTTAATTGCGCTGAAGATGATCCAAAAAACAGATTACAATGTACGTCTTTCTTCTTCGATTTTCTTTCACTTCCTCTTTCCAGAAATTTCCTCAACGTGCATGTTCCTGTTTACCTTCATTAAGCCGCGAGTTATTTTAAAATAAAATTTTATCTGACATCTTTTCAACAATAAGCATTCTTTCCAATCTACGATGATGTATTATCTTTTTATCGTGACACGAGTTGGAATGCTCGCCTGTACAAATATTTGCGTGTTCTTTTTTTTTTATTATCCTACGGCATTGTCAGTCACTACCTGCCATCGATCTCCGGTCGACCGCATGACGCTTTTCTTCGTCAAAATGTTTTTACTTCATCTCGTCTAATATCGACCATTTGATTTGACAAGCTATCTTTGCCATACGTATACCCGAACTGTTTTTACCCCATCCCGTCCAATGTGGGGGAAAGATAAGACACGGCGCCAGAGAGGTCGGTGATCGGGGTTTGTTTTGACGGGCCATACTTGCCACTATACTACTAATGATTAATTTTAAAAGTAGCGATATAAGAAGCAATTACTTGCGTGTTTGTTTTTTTTTGATATATTACATATATATGTAATATACATATATGTATATTAGGGTGTGTCAAAAAAAATTATTTTGTTTAATTTTTGCCTGCATTTCAACTAAAAAATTAGCTAGTGATAATAATGATCCTATAACGTGCCAATTTTAATTGATTTTATTTAATGGTTCCACATTCGCTTTGAAATCTTTTTATTTAAATAATACGCGAAATGCAGTTGTCTCATTAAATTCGACTCATCTTTATCAAAATCAGTTAAAACAATTCAAAATTCGGTCTCATTTAATTAATTTTGATAAAAATACATGTAAGTTGAATTTATTGAGAAAAAACCGGATTTTCCGTGTTATTTAAATGGGAAATTTTCAAAATAAATGTAAAACCATTAAATAAAATCAATTAGAATTGGCACGTTAGAGTATAGAAAATATTTTCGAAGAAATTGAAAAATTTCTTAAATCTTAAAACTATAATCTTATTCTTTAAATCATAATCAAAATTTTGACCTCTTTTCTACTCCACATCTTTGCCAGAGATATATGTAATTGACAAGAGACAGATTTACATTTGCTTTCTCTAAATAAAATCTATTTGTTTTGCCCGACAGATCTGATACCGGTATGCACTACCTAAAAAAGAATGAAAGAAATCTTATTATTGTTACCGAAAAGAAAGATACTAAAGGTCTCCAAAGAAGAATCTTACACAAATATAAAAATTAAACTTCTTTCTAAGAAAAAAATTTCTTAGTAGAGATATCAATTACGTTGTGTAAAAGTGCTTCTTAATATTTGTATAACAATAAATATATATTTAATTGACTCAATATTTGTTACGCGCATACGAAAATTTAATTTATACAATTATATTATAAATGTACAAGAAATAATAAGTATTCTGTTTTTATTTGTCCTCGAAATTTGCAACATTTTCCTTTTAATTATTTATACATATATATTTTAATTAAGAAATATTTTTTCGGCTCTCAGTATTGATAATAATATAAATATGATATTTAAATTGGCCAATAGAGCCCAAGCGCGAAAATTAATTTTTCGTTCTATTGACCGATTTAAATATTATATATATATGTATATATATATATATATATATATATATGTATATATTTATATTTATACATATATATACATTTATTAAATTTATAAAAAATAAATTTATTTACATAATATTGTGTATTTCCTTCTTCCTTTCTTCTGTTTTTCTCTTTCTTTATTTTTTCCGAATCCTCTTTTCTCTTTTTTCTCTTTCTTTTTCTTTTCTATGGTCCTCCTTTTTCCTTTCTCTCTTTCTCTCGATTAATCTCCGTCACTTTCTTTCTTTCTATTATATACAATATAATTTATAGCACATGATCGTTACAATGGTATGAAATTGTAAAATACTACTATTCAAGAATGTCTAAATATTTCCATAAAAAAGCAGATTTTATAATATATAAATATAGATAATAGAGAAAATATATATAAAGATAGATTTTATAATATATATATAAATATAGACAAAATAGAAAATATATAATAGAGAGGTTGTAAAATTATTACATAACGATTAAAATAGAAATGTATATAATATATTACATACATACTTTCCTATTTTCTTCTTTCTCTGTATTTTTTTTTAAACTTACACACACTATCTTTTATATATTTATATATATGATGTATTTTATTCTCTGTATTTTTTTTCTTAACTTACACGCACTATCACATATACGCAGCCAGTATGACAGTTTGACAGTCGTATCGTATAACCAACATACGAGGATACAAGTGAAGCAAGTCATAGCGCATGCAATGCTCGACAATCAACAACCAATCGGCATCACGATAAAACATTCGAGATATTGCGAGAATACATAACATGCACTTTTTAGAAAGAGATTTTGTTTTTCTTATTATATCTAGTGCATATATCGTGTTAGAATTAAATGATTTTTGCGGTACAGAGTATACCGAAAATATAATTCTCTTCTTACATATATTCTACTTTTTTTACCATTATATTATCATCTGACGATGTTTGATTAATCGAATTTCAATAATATTTTTGTACGTGTTCTATCTTCACTCGACAGTAAATAAGCACTGTTTTATTTTTACGCAAATTTTGTTGACTTTTATAACTCGTACATGATCATTTTTTTTCTATTACATATGTATTTTTTTGCTCTTTTATCTGATATGTGTCAAAAATACTTGGAATTTACTATTTCTTTATCACAATTACAAAATATGAAACATTTCTCATAAAGAATATAAATATATCGATAAAGATACAGGCATGTGTATAAAATAATAATGATCGGTTTTCCCGCCAAAGGTCGGATTGCAAGAAAACATATAGAGATATACTGTATATAAAATTATATATTATATATTGATATACTGTCTATAAAATTATATATTATATATTTATATTATATTTAAACAATTTTTTTCACAGCAAATTCGAATTGTTTGTAAATATACATAAACTGATTAATAAGTGTATGTATGTTAAAACATAAAAAATTGATGTAAGAATTTTATTTTTATTTAGCATCTTTTCACACGTCTTTATATCGTACTTTGTAAATATTTGTTGTATTGCATATTCATCGCAATGATCCATTGTTATGCCAAAACAATGATTGCTTAAAACCTTGCACATTACGCACTTACTTCAAACAATACGAAAATATTGAAATATCATAAATAAATGTAAATATTAATAATAATATTATAATATTAAAAGAATTAAATATTAATAATATGATATTAAATATTATGAAACATTATAAATAATATCATTAATTTGTGTTTTATTGACTTAATCATTGTGACTGCAATCAATTGCAATCAACTAATTTATTGCAATATTGATCATTTATTTTGATTGTCGATGTAATTAATGTGACATATTATATATTTAAATATTTTTCAAAAAATTATTCAAAATGTAATATTGTTTAAAGAATTTACAAATCTTAAAATCGTTATCTTAATTTTCTCTTTCCAACATATCTTTTTGCCATAAACAGATGAAATCAATAAAAAAGATTTACCTGTGTTTTCTTTTAAAAGAACCTTTTTTGGGAAAGAAAACAATAAAACTGGGAAATTTGAAAAGTCATAAACAATGCATCAGGGAGATTCAGAATTTATGATCGTCATTTTAGTCTTTATTTCTGTTATACCTATGTCTGTTCTCTTAAAAAAATATTTTTGCAACAATAAATCTTACAGTTTAAGAAAGCAATATATCTTTTTGATACTTATTGTTAAAACATACATAAAGAGGCATTACCTGAAAGACCTTCAAGCTTAAAGAATTTTTATTGTTTGCACGAAAGAGAAAGTTCTTTTTAAATTTAGAAAACACTACTTACGAAAAAATTCATGTTACACATATAAATATTTTTATATTATATATATATACATATATATTATACATATATATATAATTATATCAGTATCTATTATGTTTCTCTCCATTTTTCGTTTTTTTTGTGCACACGTGACAACTATAGTGAGTATGGTGGGAAAAAATACAAAGGGCTTTTCAGGTATATATTAGGTCTAGAATCCAGAATAAGGGTAGTCACACTGTACAGGACTTCTGTTATGCACGTAAATACGAATTTGTGAAATCCACAGACGCGTTTGTTGAGGACAACATATCGCAATAGATTTAAACAATTTTTACAGACAAAATTAATTATACGAGAATATTTTTACGATCATATTAAATTGCATTTTTATGTGTGTGCTTTTCTGAAGTGCTCTTCTATAATGGCTACGATAAAGGATTTACCTACAGAATTGATAGACATCATTCTTGGCAATGACATCAGTATTGAAGATGTTATTAATTTTAAATCAACATGCAGACAATTTTGGTTGGCACCACCATACAAAAAGGATTGGGAAAAAAAGTTTTCGAAGAGGTATGTAATGTTGTGCTTCTAAATTTTTTTTGTAATTTTATTTTTTATAATTAAATTTTCTCGCACACACAATGTATCATATTTATGTGAAAGATATTTTTATTTGTTTTATTTATTTTATTTTTATAAAACGGAAATAAATAAAATATATAAAAATAAAATAAAAGAGATAATACAACGAGTACACATAAGAAAATTTTAATAAACAATACAAATACTAAAACAAATTAATTTTATATAATAAATTAAATTATATTTATCATTAAATTTAATAAAATTCATAAAGTTAAAGAAAATTTTGTAGGAAATAATTGTTTCGTCCTGTTTTTTCGACACATTTACGTCTCTTATATTTCCGCGTTTCCTATCCGCTTTTATAATAAAAAACAAAAAATATAATAAAATGTAAATATTTACAACAAATTTAATATAATAAAAAATAAAACAAATTAAAATTTAAAAAATTACAATTTTGCATATTTTATCAATCTGTTTATTGTAATTTATTATTTTTATTTATTAATTAGTTTTGTACAGTAACTGTCTTATAAATGTAAAATGTAAAAGCTAACAATAATTAATTAATATTGTTTTAAAGCTATGTAATGGAAAAACTGTTTTTTTTTCACTATTTTTATAATGTACATTTCAATATAAAATGTAATTAGAATTTAAATTTGAAATTTATATATTGTACATTTTCTACGTTAAGATATAAGATTGATATTTCAATACGTTGATAGATATTTGATGCTTTATATATTATGACATATTTCAAATATTTATTATTTTACGATTTTTACAGATGGCCTTCTGCGAAAAAACTTCATGATAAGAAATCCAAGGAAAAGCAAGAATCTGCAAGGAATGAAAAGAATAATGAAGAAAGTTTAAGCTTTATAGAAGCAGGAACTAATTGTGTAAAACAATTACGAAATGTCGTGTCCAAATTAATAAATAACTGTAATGATAGTTATTTGATTGATAATTTCACAAGTTTTGAGCACGTATTTCATTTGAAAGATAAACATTTGAATGACATGATTACCAAGCCTGAGAATTTCATGACTAGTTCTTTCTTCGTGGATGAGATGAAACATATGCTTACGCAATCTCTACGGTAAGAATTCAATATAAATTAAAGCGTTATGTATATCATAAATTAATGTACAATGTTTGCTGTTATCTATATTATGTATAAATATATTTATTTAATTTTACTATTTTAAATATATTTTATTTATATAGTATTATATGTGACTAAAAAGTGCAGAAATATTATATTAGAAATATTGCAACTTTACCGCACGTTTTACTAAAAAACGATTAGTTGTACGAAAAAAGTATAATGACCTTTTTTGTAGGGAATTTTATGAGCTACAATTTTGATAGTAACTATTTTTCTCGAAAAATTGATAGTTTTTGAGATAATGGCAAAAAACTAAAATTTACCCCCTTTTATCCCCCTTTAAAAAAAAACGTCTTGGTTGAAATTAAGAGACTTTTCAAGATTTCATTAAAATATCAAAATAAGGTTTTCCACAAAAATTCAGCTTGCTCCTAAATTTTATGAAATTAAAGTCTAATTTTACTGGACTATAGATATATTTAAAACAAAATTATCTTTATATTATCTAACGATAAGATAAATTTACATATTTTTATCTTACCTTTAAGCTAATTTTGAAGTCATGTAAGCACAACATTACTAATGTACTTTTGCACAATTAATATATAACTTTTTCAGGAGACCTGATTGCGATCTGACGAAAAGATATTGCATTAAAAACATGTTTTGCTATCTGAGACAACATTCGACGAGAGAAAAGTGGGAAATATTTAAAAAACAACCTCAGAGAGAGCAGCTTTTAGAACGGTGCGCTACTATTTTTGCCCAATGGCTTCAACCAGAAAAGGATATTTTTTTCTCGAAGGTGAAAACATCACTAAATAATGTAACACAAGGAGCGCTGAAATGTCTCGCGGAAAAGCATCCTGATCATCCCATATTTTTGACATCCTCTGAGATTTTTTCCTATTGGGAAAATAACAATATCGACAATAATTATTGGAACGAAACGGAAGGAACTAAGATTATGGATACACTCCAAGAATATATATTTGACAAATTACATTTTCTACCAAACAAATCGAAAGACTCTAAATTGGAATACATATGTATAGATAATGTAAGTTGATATTAGATTATAATTATAAAATGTATAATAATTATAATTATCAATCATGCTTTGAACATGTGTGTCTAAATGTGTTTTTTATATTATAAAAATATTCTCTCTTTTTATAATTAATTTTTGTATTGTAATTTCTGACACAGGTCCTGGAAAATAAATATGGTCAAAAAATTATTTTATCGATAATATATCATAGCGTCGCTAGGAGACTTGGTTTGCGTTGCGACGTAATTAAATTGTCTACATATACCTTTGATACTCTTATCTGTATATTTTGGAAACCAAATTAGTAAGTATATATAATTTTGGAATTATCCGAATCTTGCATTTTTATTCTCTTTTTATACATTCATATATAAACATACACATATGTATATTGATTATTGTTTACAGTACTACTATTGGCTTAGAAAATGCAAGATGTTTCAATATAATATCTGCCAAATTTCCGGATTGTATTGACAATAAATTGTCATTATGCAGAAAGTTGTATCCAGCACACGAATCCATTTTAACTATTCCAGCTGAAGAGGTTAGTAAATATGTCTATTAAATTTTTGGCAAATATATATTTAGTGGACGAGTATTTTTATTTTGTTTTCGATAATGGTAATGTAAAAATATAAAAAACTAATACAAAATCTCAACTTAAGTATATTTGTAATTTTAAAATTTCAATCTTAATCTTATGATTATAGGTCTTTAAAGTTTTAGATATTTTTATATAACAATTTCTTTTTTAAATAAAAATTATTTCCGTGAAATGTTTTAAAAAATAATTCTAAGTAAAAAATTTACTAGATAATCGTCAGATATATTTATTATATTATTTAATTTGCAATTTAATAATTTACGAAATATGTTACATGTATATATTTATAATCTCTAAAAACTCACCTTTAAAAAAAGGTAAAAAAAGGCGACCAGTTAAGGGCACGCCATTAACAAAAATTATCCATTGCAAACCCATGTAGAATCCTATCCTATTGCAAACCCATGTAGAATCCTATGAAAAATTAATCATTGCAAACCCATGTAGAATCCTAGGCAAAATTAACCATTGCAAACCCATGTAGAATCGTACCCATTGCAAACCTATGTAGAATCCTATGAAAAATTAACCATTGCAAACTCATGTAGAATCCTATGAAAAATTAACCATTGCAAACCCATGTAGAATTGTATTAAAAATTATCCATTGCAAACTTATGTAGAATCCTACATTGCAAACCCATGTACAATAGAATTGTATGAAAAATTATCGATTATAAACCCATGTACAATCGTAACAAAAGTAATGAAATAAAAAAAAAATTGCGCCAAGTGAAAGTAGAAACTTGTACCAGTGGAAAATTAAAGTTGCAGACATATATAGAGTCGTATAATGAATCAGTAAAAATTTAAATTTGCAAATGTAGAATCGTACCATAAAAAAACTTATCTTTTAAAAAAAAAGATAAACAAGATGCCAAGTCCATGCGCCATGTGAAAAAGAAATAAAAAAATTTTAGTTAAAAAAACTGGGCGCGCTGCTAAGTTTCAAAATTACAATGCACCTTAAAGTAACATTAATTAATTTAAACACAAAACATATTTTAACTGTAATGAGTTTAAAAGTAACAATTTAATTTTAATATTGTTAGAATATTATTTAGCAGCGCTCCCAGTTTTTTTAACTAAAATTTTTTTATTTCTTTTTCACATGGCGCATGGACTTGGCATCTTGTTTATCTTTTTTTTTAAAAGATAAGTTTTTTTATGGTACGATTCTACATTTGCAAATTTAAATTTTTACTGATTCATTATACGACTCTATATATGTCTGCAACTTTAATTTTCCACTGGTACAAGTTTCTACTTTCACTTGGCGCAATTTTTTTTTTATTTCATTACTTTTGTTACGATTGTACATGGGTTTATAATCGATAATTTTTCATACAATTCTATTGTACATGGGTTTGCAATGTAGGATTCTACATAAGTTTGCAATGGATAATTTTTAATACAATTCTACATGGGTTTGCAATGGTTAATTTTTCATAGGATTCTACATGAGTTTGCAATGGTTAATTTTTCATAGGATTCTACATAGGTTTGCAATGGGTACGATTCTACATGGGTTTGCAATGGTTAATTTTGCCTAGGATTCTACATGGGTTTGCAATGATTAATTTTTCATAGGATTCTACATGGGTTTGCAATAGGATAGGATTCTACATGGGTTTGCAATGGATAATTTTTGTTAATGGCGTGCCCTTAACTGGTCGCCTTTTTTTACCTTTTTTTAAAGGTGAGTTTTTAGAGATTATATCATTCATTTTTGTATATTTTTATGACCGGAATAGAACAATTATTAAACATGTTTATCTAAACTTCTTTGCTTAAAATGATGTGTACAATCATATCCTAGAATCCTGATCATTCCTCCTAAAGCACCCTATTTATATAAATTTACCCATATGTGTGTGTGTGTGTGTGTGTACTAATGTCGAGCATTTTTTATACATTTTCTATTAAATTTAGATAAAAGTTGCAGGATTTCGAAAAAGAAAAAGTTGACACAGACTTTTTCCTAAACGGCGATTTTCAAGGTTATTTAAAGGTCACTTATATTTTCAAAATAGAATTACCTTAATTTTTCTCATATAAATCGATTCCTCGCAATATTTACTATAAAAAGTTGTAAAGGTATAATTTTTACATAATCTTACATAAACTTCGAAATATTACAAATATTTTATTTTATGAAATATTTCAGTTTATGTAAAATTATGTTAACTATCTTTTAAATTATTCACTTTTAGCCATCTTACCCTTACAACCTTTTATAGTGAATATTGCAACAAATTGGTTTATATATATAATATATATATAACATCAGTTATTATTAATTGATGTTTACATTTATTTTTAGACTTACTAGAGCTCAAATGCTCCACATTTTTTGCAAAAACTGTTTATTCTACAGATTTCAAATATGCTTTTAAATGATGATTGAATATTTCCTTTTTTTAATTATTTTTATTATTATTTTTCAATCTCAATCAACTTTTATAACTTTATGCCAGCACGATACAAATACATGTGTCTTTATTTTTTTTATTATTTTCATTATTATTTTTCAATCTCAATCAACTTCTATAACCTTATGCCAGCAGGATACAAATACATGTATGTCTTTATTATTGTATCAACTCTTGTCTTTTCCATGTAACCATGTCTTCATAGTTTGAATTATCCCTTCATCTTCTCAATCTTTCGCAGAGATTTAATTAATTAAATACACTTCACACGAAATAAAGTTTGCTGGAAGATATACAGCAAACGATAACTGTAAAAACATGATTACGTGGAAAGAACAAGAGTTGGTACAGTAAAGGCAAGTAAGTAAGTACATGTAATGTATCGTATTGGCATAACGCTATATCCGCGGAGCAGATAATGTGGCTGTAGAGGTAGTCTGCAGTGCAGCTAATGTGGACGTAGATGTTGATTGAGATAATTGTCTAATATAAAATAGAATTTAAAAATTTAGTTTAAAAAGCTGTTGCATATATAAATAAAGTTTATTTTTTCTAAATTTGGAATATGTTTAATTAATTAATTTTTTAAGTCTATGTTTAATAAATTTTTTAAGTCTGTATTCAATAATTTTATTCATTTGATAAATACATGTATGTCTTTATTTTGATATGTTTAATATAATTAGAAATTCATTATTAATTAGATATGTAAACTATAAATTCATATATAATATTTGAAAATATATGTGAATATTTAAATTTTTATCTTCTCCTTCCTCTCCTTCAATCTCTTTAATATCAATATGTGTATGTGTGTACACGCGCGCACATTTGTACGTATTTATTTAATTATTGGATAGTTGAGAGTACTTAATTGATAAAAAATTATGACAATAATAATCCTTGTTTTTTTTTCTTATTATTTACTCAGATTTTTTTGTCTATCTTATAAGATAAACACTTTAGAGATTGAATATTTCAAGTAAACTAATTGTAAGTAAATTTCACATTAATGCATATAGATGTTTAATCATGAATGTACTAAATAAGTACACAAGACGAACAGTGAGTGAGTGAGTGAGAATGAGAGAGTGTGTGTGTGTGTGTGTGTGTGTGAGAGAGAGAGAGAGAGAGAGAGAGAGAGAGAGAGAGACGAGAGAGTAGTGAGTGATGAGAGCTGAGAGAGAGAGAGAGAGAGAGAGAGAGAGAGAGAGAGAGAGAGAGAGTCGAGAGAGACGTGAGCGAGAGAGAGAGAGTGTGTGAGAGAGAGAGGCTGTGAGAGAGAGAGAGAGAGAGAGAGAGAGAGAGAGAGAGTTAGCCAACATAACCCCGCACGCTGCCGATATGGCGGAGCGCCACTATCGCCATCTGTTGTAAAACGTGCGAGATGGACAAAATTACCACTACATGCATCTTGCATGTGTTGTGTACGTGTGATATATGTGTGCGCATGTGTTGTATACGTGTGAATACGTGTAACACGATACTACTATGTATGCGTGGTCGATGATGATAATGACGGGGACGTTTCTTAATAGAAATTTTTCATATTTCGACTTTGCATTTATATATCTCTGCTTACAAATCACGTAGAGCAGAAATAAAGACACTTTTATTATATAATTCGAACTCAATCTATCGATTAAGTCTAGTATAAACTCGATTGCTTCAGCCATTATTGAGGATTCGAAATATTATAAAGACTCAAATGTCCGACTCGCGTTAAGATACACGGTGTCTCCGCTACGCCCTTAACTGGTCGCGAGACACTACCGTGTCTCTTGATAACAATTTTCTTACTTTGTAATCCGGACACTATATTCACAATTTTTCCTTTTTCAGATGATGCTAGATATGCTGGAAATACTTGTGAATATGAAGAACTGGTATAATAAAACTTTGATGATCATGCCGCGTGAAATGATCATGTTACACCACTTTACGAATGAAAATGTGGTATGTCAGCATTATTCATGCTTATACACACACATTAATATATAATAAGTATAAACGATAAAAAGTTATCTTTAAAATTTTTCTCCGATAACACATATACATTTATAAATATAAATTATAATTATCTGTAATATAATTGGTTGTACTGATACTTGCTAAAAGTCTATATCTAGAGATTATAATTAACGACAAATAGCAATTAAAATCTAATGCTCTTTTCCAGGTCATTTTTTTCATTAAAAATACAGAACAATCAATAAATACAAGATCAGAAGAAAAATTTGCGGTTGGAATGATCGTAAATTGTAATCAACCTACACTCAAATGTTTTAAGGGAGTAATAATCGGATGGTGCAGATATATGGATAGAAATAATATTCACTTTGACACAAGCAAAATATTTAATCCAATTTTGCCATTGAAGATCTATAGTAATTTTAGTGCAATCAAACAACAAACAAATTATCTAATTCTGACTGAAAAAGACGAAATGTGTTACGCGGGAGAAAGTATGAATATAATTTATATTTGTAGTCTTATTTTTATTTCATATTATATTTTTTAGTCCATGAATCCATCTTTCTGTACACAATGTAAAAAATATTTTACTTTATTTTATATTTATTCGATCTCAATTTTAAATTTAATTAATTTTATTTATTTTAGTTGTTATTATTGTATGTATTTTTTATTATTTTATTGAATTTATTATTTAATTTATCTTAGTTATCATAAATAATTTTTTAATTTTTATGTTTTAATTAGATTCACTGACTTTAACAACTGGACGGATAGAAAATAGTGAAATAGGCCGATATTTTTCTAAATATGAAGAGACGCATTACGTACCGAACCAAAACCTGGCAAAAAAATATCCGCAAGACGCTGCTGTAACTGCCAAAACAACAATATAATTAATTTTTAGATAATAAAATATTACATTATATTATAGAAAAATTAGATTAAATTATAAGTATAAGGTACTACAATTAGATAATATTATAAATTATAAGATTAATGCTAATTGTGTTAATTAAATTTAAGGTACATGTATTGGTTCTGTGCACTATTAAGAGTCAGATGAAATATGTACAATATATATTTGTGACTGTGTATAAATATAGCCAAAATATATTTTACATACGATGACACAAACGTGGAATATTGAATATAAAAATATATTAATACATAATATTACATTATATTTTTATGCATACATATATACATATATTATATTATTTATATATTTATATAAATCTTTTAAAATAAACGATTATGAACGCAGATAATTATTAATTATAATTATTATACTGATCAAATTTGATATATATTACGATAACACCTAATATGGAAAACGCGATTACGTCTACTGAACTATTTGACTCTTAAATGAAAAGCCATTATATTTTTAAGTATAACATTAAATATGTAAATATAATACTACATTAGATTACTTAAAAAATCAGGTTGTTTTATGGAAAGAAAAATTTCTTTCGAATAACACTTAACCGATAATACATTTGTAAGAATAATTTTATTTATTTCACGAATTTATCAACGAATATATTTTTTAAGTCTAGAGTAAAAAGAAATGATTAAAAAATGAAATTACATTTAAAATATCAATTCATCGTCAATCGCTAAATCTTGTATTCCGTATTCGTTTCTATAGGTACCATAGCAAATAAAATAAAAGCAAAATATTATTTTAAAACCGGTTTAGATTCGACTTTTTTTACCTTGACATTTATATAAACTATTCATGTAATTAGGAATTAAATATAACAATGGGTCAGATGACGTTGATATTTAATTTTTCACTCTCGACTTTTGACGAAAAAAAAAACAATTTTATTATTATAAACAATTAACAAAACGATTAAAAAATATTTTTATTATTATAAACGAAAAAAAACATTTTTATTATTATAAACGATTCCATTGATTTCTTTAATAAATAATTAAAACTAATAATAACTAATAATATGTCACGTCCTAGACTCTGCAGCAAGAAAAAGCTTATGACAACTTTAAATACATTATCTATAAAAAAAGAAACTTCTGTACAAACTTTTTATCATTAAAATGACATGGTCACAAATTGACGATTCTCAGCTAAAAATAGCAACTTCGCGCTTTCCAACGACAAAATTGTAAGCTGGATAATACTGTTAGGCTATGCCGTGCGGTTTATAATACTTTTCCATATGACCACGAATAAATATTCATTGGCTTTTTTTGTTTTTATCAGGATTGGGAAAGTTATTTTTAAAAAGTAACTCGTTACCGTTACTTAAAAGTAACGATTAAAAAATCGTTACTGTCCGTTACTTTTTTTCTTAGTGTTAAGTAATATAAGGCGAACATAAAATGCGTATAAAAATTTTAATTTTTAAATTTTTTTTATATTTCATATATTCTTTTTTATTATATTTTTCTTATAATATTAATAAAATTATACATATTAAACTTAATCCTATTAAACATGAATTCTACTCAATGACATATATCACTGTTTCTCATAAAAGATATTCATCATAAATCCGATCTTATATATTAAAATCTAAATATGAACAGCCATAATAGCAAATATATTAAAAAGTAACGATAAAAGTAACGAATCAATTTCGTTACTCGTTACGATAGAAAATATAACGTCCTTACTTTTTCGTTACAAATAGAAAAAAGTAACGGCGTTACCAAATCATTACCGAAAAAAAGTAACTGTAACGGCAACGGCGTCACAATTAACGCGTTACTTCCCAACCCTGGTTTTTATCATGCCGTTGTTAATCATTCATAACTTCATATTTTTATATTTTATAATTTGTAATTTTATACTGAAAAAGATTAAAGTGAAGTCGGCGCGTATGTAAATCTTTTATTCAATAACGAAATAAAGCATGATACACGGTTACTTTATAGTTGGTCATAATCTCTAAATTTCTAATAATTACTCAAATTTAAATCATTTTAAAAAATATAGTACAATAAAAATAGCACAACGTAAACTGAGTTATAGGAGGCATAAAAAATCTAAGATTAAAATTTAAATAATCGTATAATTTGTGGTTAAAAATATCTTTGAAAATTAAAAAATAAATAATAAATTAATTTATCTATGTGTGACAAGGTTACACTAACACCACTTCTGCAGTGAAAGCGAAACGAAATCTATTGTAGTATCTTATACAGTATCCGAAATCTATTAAATGCTACTCACAATCAAAACAATGACCTTGACAATATACAGGGTGTCCTGCAACGTGATGTGCACTGTGTATTTTTGGTGTCATTCTATATCATAAAGTCTAATTACACATATATAATACATATATTTATTATCGATATAATGATGAGATTGAAATATTTAAATAAAATATTTTTGATTGATCCTTAAGTATTAAAAATCAAGCATTCCTCTTCATGAACTTTATACGTAAATTCTATTATATTTAAGTAAAATAATTTGTACGCTGGCATGTTTTTATAGAGCCCAATTAATTTTCAGACAATATAATATCTAAATATTTGAATAAAATATTTATGACCTCATTTAAACTATTAAAATTCGACAATTAATTTCCGCAAACATTATAATGAGCATTTTTTAATATGTCTACTAAATAAAAGAATTTGTACGTTGACATGTTCTTAGTACGAGATTAATGTGAAAACAATGTACTATAGAAATATTGAATAATAAATTTTTTAAATCAATTTTTTATCCGAAAAACACGTATTCTTGAATATATAATGTTGATCTTCTGATACTATTTCGACAATTCTGCTTTCTACTAAACAGGTCTCGATTAATTCTGGGCTAGTGCAATACTCTTCTAAAAATTTCTAATGACAAATATAATTAGAAAATTATTAAAACATTATTATTTCCGAAATTGTTATTAAAACAATTATTATTTCCGAAAAACTCGTATTTTGAAATATAAATGTGAGCTACTTATTTTAGTATGACAGTTCTGATTTTTCTTCAACATTCCTCGTGTAGTTCTGGGCATGTACAATGCTCTTCCAAATAAGAGTTCTGATAATAAAAATATTAAAAAAATAGATAATAAAAAATTTTTTTAAACAATTGACAATAAGCTGAAACGAAAATAAATCATAATTATAAAATAATAATGGATAAATGAGCCGCAGCAAGAATTTCGTGCTGATCAAACTATTTATCAAATAAAACTATTTATTAAACAAACTATTTATTAAATAAACATTTCGATATATTTTAGACCATCTTCAGTTTACATAGAATGTTAGTTAAAAAGAATCATAGATGATAGCGCATAACAGAGTCAGAAAATTAATAACAAACCTAACCAGTTGAAATCTAAATGCCGCTGCATTAAAATAAGAGTTTCAAATATCAAATTATTGACCAAAGCCAAAATGAACATATGAAAACATTTTTCTTGTTACAGTATTGTCCTAAGTGCATCATAGCAAAGTATATGCGGATAAAAAGTTTAATTTTTACATAATTTTCAGTTTCTTAAGAAAAATGGTTGCTCTAACTTTCGTAAATTGTATATAAGATATCAAAATAAATATTTTTATATGAATAGATCATCGAAGTAAACACTAGAGTTCTTAGGGACTCTAGGAAGCACTCGCGTTAGCTTGTCTGCATTTTAGTTTTCTATTTAAAAAAGGCACATTGTTGACATTTTTGTCACTTTTCTACGATGCTGATTGGCTACAATCATAATCAAGCAACTGTCACATAACAACTTGACATTTGGCAAAATAAAATTAAATAAAATTACAATTATTAAAAACGTTAAATTGCATACACAAAATACAAAAAAAATAACGCATATAATGACAGGCGCAGTGCGCGTTTGTTTTGTCTAGAATATTAAATTGCGAGTAATCGTTCGTTCATGAACTGCGATGAAACTTTTTTTACATATTACAATAATAGATTTCAATCTCTTGGGACGAATCTTTCGCGTGACAATTTTCTTCTCCGCAAGAGTTCTACAGTTCGTGCATAGACTCTACATATGTATTATTCAAGTCGATGTCAGTCGATGTTGCCTTTGTCTCGTATCCGAATCGTTTCAGTAACATCAACTTGATCCTTTTTTTCCATACAAATATGACAAAGATACAGGAACTCTGCACAATATCGAACAAAACATAAATAAAGTAATATTTTTTTCTTAGTTCCAAAAGACCATGACATTATATGCACAGACCAATTTAGGCCTAATATGATAAATATCACGATAAATAACTTTATATATAGATTAAACCTAAAAATGTATATATACAGGGTGTCCGGTAACTAACGGACCAATGATTAAGGGCGGATTCTCTGGCCAATTTGGAGACGATTTTTCCTTAGCAAAAATGTTGAGAAGTCAATAATTTTCGAGTTATAAGCGATTGAAAAAAATGGGTTTTTTGAAAACTAAACGTTTTGGAGTTAAAAGTCTAACATAATTACAGTCTTCAGTTAATTTCAGGTAGAGTTTACTATAATAAAATTTTAATTTGAGGCTTAGTTATAAAGATACATAATGACAATTATTGGAAAGCTGTAAAAAATGATGACCTTTTTCGACATTTTTGCTGAGGAAAAATCGTTCCCAAATTGACCAAAGAATCCACTTGTAATCGTTGATCCGTTAGTTACCGGACACCCTGTATATATATATATATATATATATATATATATATTCATATATAAATATTTAGTAAATCTTTCAATAAAAATAAATTTTATATCAAATAATTAAATTGAAAAATAATGGAATAAATTACGAACCTAAAAAGGGGGAAAAGAAATAGTTGTTTAAAGAAATTGTTCAAAAATGTAATGTTCTTTAAAAATAAATGTACATTAGTTAACTTTATTATCACTATTTGCGACATTAGAGACTTTCTCGTA